CTATTTTTCTTCTTTTCTTCATTTCTTCTTCTCCCTCACCCTCTCCATATTTCCATTGATGCACCAGCTACGCCCCGCCCGCGCCCCCCCCCCAGTAGATCCGCCCCTGAGTGCAACCACCACTGATTGGAAGAGAGAGTTGTCTCGGCTTCTATGTTCATTTCCCTGTGCTTGCAAGCCGGTTGACCTACTATGCCTGCGGACCGGCCGCCGGGAGAGCCTATCGCCATCTTCTACAGCTTTCATACATGTGCTGCAACGGCAATCGTTGAATTCAACGTTGTTCCTGGATAAGCTTCGGAATTCGGAACCGGCCGGGCGATCTATCAATCTCGTGGTTGCCATGAGCATAAACAAACTGCTTAGATAAGGCCAGAGTCATGGACGGTGGCACAACACACCACGTCATCACATGAAAATATAAGTAAACCGAGCCTATTGTTTCTTTTGGCCTACTACTATATGCTACCTTGCTTGTTACCCACGTTAGTAAAAAACAAAAAATAGGTATCTATCTAGGGTGGCCACAATAACATATAGAGGTTAGACAGTGGACTAATTAGAAGCTGTTCGGCTGATGATTTCTACGGCTGATAAGCTGAATGAAGCTGATTTGTTGTGAGAGAAAAATATTGTATCATGGTTGATAAGCTTGATCCATCCGCGGCAGTCACTTTCATTCGGAGGAGCACCGCTACACAGTACAAACATTTGTTGAGTGAGCAGGCTTCGAGCAACCAACCTCCTTGTCGAGTCTTCCAAGTGAATGGTTTTCTTTCTTCTTCTTCTTTTTTCACATTGCTGTCCATGTCAAAGCCTCATAACGTCATGGACCACCTGGCTAATCACTCCACGCCACCCCCCCCTCCTCCCACACACACATGTTTTGTTGCCTCGTTTTGTCGTGTGGTACGGCCATATTAAATCACTCGAGAAATTTTACCACGACACTAAGGCCTCTTGGTCGACAAGAATTTTATAGAAATTAGTTCATTTTCATAGAAAAGCAAGGAAACAGAATTCCTACATTTATGTAAAATTTCTATGAAACACTTACCCTATACTCACACCGGGAACTTAAACAACACGGATAGTTGAGGGCATCGATTGGACTTATAAACACAAAAAAACTCGTATTTAGCTACAAATCCAGGGCCCTTTGGATTGTAGGATTTTTTTTCCTGAATCCTATGATTTTTCTGTAAAACTAGCTAAACTAATTCTTACAAAGTTTGTGGACGAGCTGATAGCTCGATTGGTAGCTCCCGGTTGTGGGAAGCTCCAGGTTGGGAGTTTGACTCTCCACCTCCGCATGCGCATGTTTCTGCGTTGTAAAAATGTTCGGTCGGGGGTTTTCTTGACCTGCATGAGAAGATCTTCTTAAACACAATGGCCGGGGGCGTCATATCCCGCGGGTCGAGTTTTTTTTTATTCGTACAAAGTTTTGTATGAATTCTGTGAAATCTCAGCGTTCCAAGGAGGCTACACAGGAGGGTTCGGCGCCTTTAGCGCGTGGAGCGTGGTAATCGGCCGGTGACCTTTATTACGGTGCTGACGGAAGTGGGGCATGGCTAGCTAGCTAGCTGTGGATTATCTACAAGTGAGCAAAGCTAATCTATCATGTGGATTTAATTTCTTTGGTGTGACCTCGCAATCACAAGGATCTTTTATATAGTCTCTGATATTTTACGTGGCCGTAGCAGCCGCCTCTCGTGTCGGCACTCGGTGCCTAAAGTTTGCAGCGCCCATTTTGAATAAAAAATAGAAATAAAAAATGTTTGCACCTGAAGGTTTGGCCACGGACACAAGAGTTGCCATCAGTATGACCCTTTTTTCTTGGGAAAAGGTGCACGTAGTACCTCTCGACCCTACCGTGTCATTTGGAAGCCCTGCGTCTTCTAGGCCGTTAAATGGACACGCCAATAGCCACGTGGAACAGTGAAGGAAAAAGGCTTTTCGATCAATTTTTAATCTCTACTAGAGAGATAGGAGTACTACTTTCTAGTTCAATTATTTCGTGACATGACATCTTGGATTATCTTGTCTAGGGCAGCGTTCGGCTGGCCGGACGGCTGGGCTGTGGCGCGCACTTACACGGGGGTACTGTTCATACGAACAGTGTTATCAGATAAAATAATATTTTTCTCTCATAACAATCAGCTTAGTCCTGCCAAACACTCGGTATGCTTGTATGTTGGCCACTGTTTATACGATCCGGTGATGTGTGCATGTGCTCCTTTGATTTGTTTCACCCTTTATTTATTTATGTTTTGCTTATGTCAAGAGATCACTCGTATGGCTTCCTAAATAAAAGAAAAAATGTTGCATTGAACAAAGAAAAAATATTCTCACTTAAATAAACAAAAATGTTATACACATATATATGTGATTTCTTTTATACAGTGTGGCCTACGCAAAAGCAAAAATTAAGCCGAGTGTGAACTGATTGTAGCTCAGTTGTTATGTTCCTTACGTTGAACTATGACCACTAGGTTGAAGTCCTCCACTAAACACGGATGCCCCTAGTTTTTTAGATTTATTATTCTTGTATTTAACTATATTATTCTTTTAGTGGGTAGGCGATGTGGCTATCGCTAACAAGATACCTATGGTGATTTTATCGATCTCGAAATTTGTCGATCGAGCTCAGTATCTCGGAGGTTTTTCATAAGAATGGGTTATGCGTGCGCACGTGCATTTATATGAGTGAGTGGTTGTGCGTGTGTATGTGAGCATTTGCATTTGTATTTGATTTATGCAAAAAAAAGAAGAAAAACACTAGAGTTAAATGAAGTTAAAGAGAAGGTGTTTGCCTTAGACGGTAAAATCGGACACGACCTAATAACCCAAAATTTCGAACTACTTGTACACATATCTAGATCACCTTAGAAAAAGAGATAGTCCACTTAATGAAACTTATTTGACTCCTACAAATGACGACTTTCCATGCTTGGTTGGGGTTGTGTTTGTGTCCCGAAAATTCCAATTTCCAAGTATCCAAAATATATCAAAAATCGGGCTGAATGGATAATGGAATTAAACGGATTCGATGGAAGGACTCCGAATTGCGTGTCTCATACGTACGTTGAAACGGAATGATACAAATATCGATTGATAAACACATTCACGTGTAACGTATAAGTATAACAGTCCATATCGAGCCACTTGCCTACTGTAGCAGACAGAGACAGAGCAGTCAGCACAAGACCACAGGGCCAGCGACGTCCAGTGCTAGCTAGGTCGTCCTCGTCCGATCCATGCAATACAGTGCGGTGGCGCTGGAGGAACTGCGGCGTAATGCTGGCGGCGGGCAATGGCGATCCAAAAGGCGCCGCCGCCGGCGGTCAGCTTGTTTCTTGCATCGGTAATACTTGGGCACATGCATCCGTCCGTCTGGATCCTAGAAAAAAAAAATCAAATTTCACCACGGAAACTCATCTCCCCCACTCTGCACTTGTTCGTCTTGGCTTCACAGCGCCGTGCGGCCATCCGACCGTCTCAATCCGCCGCGCCGCCACCTACTCTAGCGTGCTACCGCCGTCATCCCCCGTGGCGCCCCCATCCCACGGCACCTCTGTCCCCCGCGGAGAGGAAGAATCCTCCACGCGAGGTACGCTGCCAACCGCCCCACCGACTGCAGAACCGCCGGACCCGGTCGCCGGCACCTAGCCCTCCGCCGCCAAGCTCCATGCACCTAGCCTCCGTCCCCCGCGCGCCATGCTGGGTGCTCCGTCCTTCACCGCGGCCAGGAGAGGGGGCCGTCGCTGGCCAGGCCTAGACCATGCTTAGGCGCAACTGGCCGCTGCCAGGCCGCGCCACCATCCTCGGCTGCTGGCTGTCAGGAACCGGCCGTCCTCCGCTCGGCGCTGCGATGTACGGAGGAAGGGCGAAAGACGCATGTTGCAAGCCTATGTTCCAAGTGTTTAAGATGTTTCATAGGTACGTTACAAGTGTTTCATATGAATGTTGCCAAAGTGATCAGGATGTTGCATATGTTGCAATGGTTGTACACGTATGTTGCAAGCTTCTATTTCCCAATGTTTCATCTGTTTTTCATATATATGTTGCAAGTGTCTTTATTTGGATGATGAATATGTTTCACACATATGTTGCAAAGCGTTTTATTTGGATGTTGCATATGTTTTACAATAGCTTTCATGTGTTTTTCAGGTGTTTTTTGCAATTGTATCAGATGCATGTTTCAAGTGTTTCATCTTTCTTCAGACGTATGTTGCAAGTGTTACGTCTAGATGCTTTAAAAGTAGATCGGGTATTACATCTTTCTCCTCACTTTTTGCTGCCTCACCTCGGTTTCTCCTCCTCCTCCTCCTCCTGGCGTCGGTTAGGCATCCGCCGTCCTTTCCCCCTCTTTCTCGATGCTGGTGCCGTTCGGGTGGTGCAGACCCCGCGTGGACAGCACGAAACAAAGCGGGAAACAAAATGCAGTTGCGAGCCTAGCAAGCCCGTTCTTGCATTGCATGGACACTTTACCCTGCCATTATACCATTCCTCAACGGCTGCGTGCACGGTCATCGAGGTTCATCCATGCTGCTGCTGATGCCGTTGCCATGCCGCGGCCTCTCCTTTGGACCGCTTCCAAGTTCCAACGGCCTTCCTGGACCTCTCTGTACTCTACAGTACACTCTTAGGCCTGGGCCTTGGCCTGGGCTTGGGTCGCCCTTGCATGCTCGTGACCTTGTCAGCAGCCTCTCTGCCACGGCCGAAGAGAAAAAGGGAAACCGATCGGGAGCCCGGTCGCCGCCCGCACCGAGCTCGGGCCCACCAGTCAGTGCCACGCCACGCAGTTCCCGATCCCCTCTCTCCCCATCTCCTTCCACTCCCTCCACCATCTCCCCAAATCCATCCCATTTCCGCCGCCGCCGCCTTCCTCGAACCTTCGTCGCTCCCCGCCCCGCCCAGCCGCGTCCCTACAAAGCCAGCCAGCCAGCCGCTATACCCTCCTCGTCCTCATCCACTTCCGCAACTCCGCCGCCGCCGCCATGTGCTCCTCCTACGACCCCTCCCCGTCCCCGGGCGCCGACGACCTCCTCCTCTACCTCTCCGACCTCGGCCCCACCTCGCCCTCCGCCTACCTCGACCCCTCCTCGCCCTCCGATTACCTCGACCTCCCGCCCACCCCGCAGCCCCAGCAGCAGCAGGGGAACATAGCCCCCCCGCAGGACATGCTGCTCCCCTACATCTCCAGCATGCTCATGGAGGACGACATCGACGACACCTTCTTCTACGACTACCCGGACAACCCCGTGCTCCTCCAGGCGCAGCAGTCCTTCCTCGACGTCCTCTCCGACGACGCCTCCTCCCCGACCACCGCCACCACCACCACCACCACCAATAGCAGCGCCAGCGCCAGCGTCAACCACCACTCCTCCTCCTCCTCCTCCTCCGGACCCGCCAGCGCGCCTCTCACCCCCGCCGCGGTCAATTCCTACGCCCCGGCCCCCGTCGCCCAGTTCGACGGCTTCGACCTCGACCCCGCGGCCTTCTTCAGCAACGGGGCCAACTCCGACCTCATGAGCTCCGCTTTCCTCAAGGGCATGGAGGAGGCCAACAAGTTCCTGCCCACGCAGGACAAGCTCGTCATCGACCTCGATCCGCCCGACGACCCCAAGCGGTTCGTCCTCCCCACCCCCGCCCCCGCCGCGGACAAGCTCGCGCCCGGATTCAACGCCGCCACCATTGTCCCTGCGGCCGTGGCCGTGGCCGTCAAGGAGGAGGAGGTGGTCTTCGCGGCGCCTGGCAGCGGCGGCGGCGCCGTCGGGGGCCGCGGTCGGAGGAACCGCTTCGACGACGACGGCGACGAGGACCTGGAGCTGCAGCGCCGGAGCAGCAAGCAGAGCGCGCTGCAGGGGGACGGCGACGAGCGAGACGTCTTCGAGAAGTACATCATCACTGACCCCGAGAAGTGCACGGAGCAGATGCAGAATCTGCGGATCGCCATGCAGGAGGCGGCGGCTGCCGCCGCCGGGAACGGCAAGGCCAAGGGCCGACGCGGCGGGAGGGATGTGGTGGACCTGCGCACGCTGCTCGTCCACTGCGCGCAGGCCGTCGCCTCCGACGATCGCCGCAGCGCCACCGAGCTGCTCAGGCAGATCAAGCAGCACGCCAGCCCGCAGGGGGACGCCACGCAGCGCCTCGCCCACTGCTTCGCTGAGGGCCTCCAGGCGCGCTCGCCGCACCGGCAGCATGGTGTACCAGTCGCTCATGGCCAAGCGCACGTCCGTCGCCGACATACTCCAGGCGTACCAGCTGTACATGGCCGCCATCTGCTTCAAGAAAGTCGTCTTCTGGTTCTCGAATTACACCATCTACAATGCCGCTGGGCAAGAAGAAGATACATATAGTTGAGTATGGGATCAATTATGGCTTCCAGTGGCCGTGCTTCCTCATGATGGATAGCGGATAGGGAGGGTGTGCCACCAGAGGTGAGGATTACTGGCATTGACCTGCCCCAGCCTGGGTTCCGCCCTACTCAGCGCATCGAGGAGACAGGGCGCCCGGCTCAGCAAGTATGCCCAGCAGTTTGGTGTGCCATTCAAGTACCAGGCGATTGCAGCATCCAAGATGGAGTCCATCCGAGTGGAGGATCTGAACTTCGATCCAGAGGAAGTGCTCATCGTGAACTGCCTATACCAGTTTAAGAACTTGATGGATGAGAGTGTTGTGATTGAAAGCCCAAGGGACATTGTGCTCAATAACATCAGAAAGATGCGGCCTCATACATTCATACATGCAATTGTGAATGGCTCCTTCAGTGCGCCGTTCTTTGTGACGAGGTTCCGGGAGGCTCTGTTCTTTTACTCGGCCCTGTTTGATGCTCTGGACGCGACCACCCCAAGAGACAGCAACCAGAGGATGCTGATTGAGGAAAACCTCTTCGGGAGGGCTGCCCTGAACGTCATTGCGTGTGAGGGTACAGATCGGGTGGAGCGCCCTGAGACGTACAAGCAATGGCAGGTGCGGAATCAACGAGCAGGCTTGAAGCAGCAGCCGTTGAACCCTGAAGTCGTGCAGATAGTGCGGAACAAGGTCAAGGATTTGTACCACAAGGACTTTGTGATCGATGTTGATCACCACTGGCTCTTGCAGGGATGGAAAGGCCGCATCCTCTATGCCATCTCGACATGGGTGGCAAATGATGCTCCCTCTTACTTTTAGCTGTTCTTTTGACTCACTTGTCTACAAATTTAGGTTTAGGTATGTCATCTAGATATGTCTAGTGACAAGTGTGTTCTGTATGGCCCAGTTAATAGCCATGGTTCAGTGGGTTACTTGGACTCAAGGTATGCAGTATGCCTAGTGCCCTAGTGAGAGAACATGTACCTGTTCTTTCCAAGGGTAGATTCAGTTTCTGAGGAACATGGGTGACACAAGCTGTGGAGGATCAGAAGGCAGAAGACATTCCGAAATCTGTCATTTGATGTAATGTGAATTAGATGCTTATCACTCAGCCATGTTGTTGCATAGTGCTAAATATGATCGAGCTCTAGGTCCTGGTCTGGATAATGTTCTCCGTAGCATCTGCTGTGCGTGTGCCCTGTGATCAATCCAGTCAGTTGATCAGGCTGTAATTGACACTTGCCCCTCTGTTTCCGGTGCTTACTGCGCTGTTTCAGACTTTAGCATGGTTATTATGAAGTGATGAAGCCTGGGTTTTGTTTGTCTACTTTATTGCACATGAAAGCTCTTTCCAGATGTATATGGCATGTGTTTTTATTCATATACATGATTCGTGTTCAATGAATTGAGTCTTCTTTTCAGCATACATATTGGTTTGTCGCAGTGACGAAATCATTAGGATATTTTTGCTGAACTGTGGCTGATGTTGAATTGTTGGAATTGTTCAGTAATCAGGCTACACATATTAGGCTGTTATTACCAGGATGCCATATTATCTCTTGCTGATGCCATTATCTCTTGCTGTACTGTCTTTGCATTTTCAGGCTACATATGGGGTTTTGTGTGGCCCATGCTGTCTTGTATGGGAGCTCTTTCCAAACGGGGCCATGTTTAGTTGCCTGAATTTGGCGCCGCAAAAACACTGTAGCACATTGTAGCTATACTGTAGCATTTCGTTTGTATTTGGTAATAATTGTCCCATCGTTGACTAATTAGGCTCAAAACGTTCGTCTCGCAGAGTACAACCAAACTGTGCAATTAGTTTTTGATTTTGTCAACATTTAATATTCCATGCATGTACCGTAAGTTTGATGTGACGGGGAATCTTTTTTTTTGCATAGTGTCAAAGTTGGGAATTTGGGGTGAACTAAACATGGCCCGGTATGCATATGATTAATAAATGGTTCATGTTCAATTAGGCTGTTATTACCAGGATGCCATTATCTCCTGCTGTACTGTTTTTTGCATTTTCAGGCTACGTAGTGGTTTCATGTGGCCCATGCTGTCTTGTATGGGAGCTCTTTCCAGACGGTATGCATGATTAATAGATGGTTCATGTTCAATAAATCCAATGTTTTTGGGCCAACATGTTGATGCAGTAAATGAGTAAAGCCATTAGTTGTTCAGTGATCAGGCGACACCTATTATCATTTTATCAGGATGGTATCATGTTTTGTTGTAAGTACAAGCAAGTGTGTTCTCATGGTCATTATGCTTAGGACTGACCATCCATTGCTTTCACTTGTCACCAGTTCACCTGTTTTGAGCCCAGGAAAAACAGGGCACACCTTTCTGCATGTTTGCAATCCTGAGAGGCAGTGTACGTTTTGTCTTCCTCAGTCCTCACACTGAAACGATACGCGTTACTCCTGCACCCACAGAGATCGATGCTGAATTGTTGAGTGAGACTAAGACATGCGGTTTACATTCCAGCTCTAATCAGGAGATTTGTGATGGCTTCATCTTGTGACGTCAGGGCTCCCATTATATCCCAGCTTCATTTTAGCAGTTTATTATTAGGTGGGTGCACATGCAGATGCCCACCAGTTAGAGTTCGTCAAAGTACTCAGGGTTCAGGTTTGTTGTAACATAAAAGTATATCAGTATTAGATATACAATATGTACTATGTTCAGAATAAAATACAATATCAGTGTTGTGTTGGATACGGACAGAGCAGGAGTGCACTTGAACTGCTGGACAAGAGCCATTGAAAATACAGGATAGGATCAGGGCGGCGGGAGTGCAAGCCGTGCGTTCGTACAGGGCCCCAAATTCCAAGAGGCCCCAAAATTATGGCGCATTAAGCCTTGCTGACTTTCAGATTACTCCTGATGCTGCGTCTCTTCCTATATCGAGCTATCTGAATCGATCTATGTCGATCTGTCTCCCTAGCTCTCCCGTAGTCCCATCCTGGCTTCCCCGTGTCTCCCGTCTTCATGATCAAGCAAGCTGGCGCACGGCATCCATCTACAGCAATCCGTCTCCCCTACTCTCCCATCCTGGCTTCACTGTCTCTCCATCTCTGTGATCAAGCAAGCTGCAAGCCGGATGGAGGTCTGGAGGCCAGCGCTCAGGTGTAGGTCACAAGGGGTAAATTTCTGATTCCTAAAGACATGAACTCGTGGAAGGTAATTATCTAATTGACTAATTATCTTATATTTATCGATGCAAATATTTCTTCATGTTAATGAATAATTACTCGTTGCTATAAGTAGACGCAGAACTGTTGTGTTGCGCAAAACGGTCGATGGTGTATACACTCACATCCGATAAAAAACACAAATTACTACTCTTTTTTTTTGCGAGGATCACAAATTACTACTCAACAAGTGAAAACAAGTCTTTATTTCAATTCTGTTAAATAATTTAAAGAACACTAAGAGAATGATATTGTGATCAAATAAAAATTATGCAATCACAAAGTAAATATGTATGATTTTTTATTTATCGCATTGCTATGTATGCATATATCATTTTATTTTTTAAGGTCAGTAGGGCCTCTTTTAGAGTTTGGAACAAGGCCTTGAATTTTGACGGCACGGCCCTGGATAGGATGGGGTTGCGAGAATATCGTTGAAGATTCTTGCACATGGCACTGAGCTAGTGAGACCTAAACCTGCCCAAAGGAGATCAAGGAATAGTATTACCAAAAAAAAAACATGAGCAGGATGGGACAATCAGGAGCACATGTCTGTTACTGCTACTGATCCTGAAAGACAAGTGCGACCCATCAGTTAGTCTGCATCGATGGAACCTTCAGAGTGGCCATACACACATCAGAAAATGGAATCCGTCAGTTCTTGTTTTTTCCTTTTTTTTTTTTTTTTAAATGCAGGCAGGGTGTCAGGTTTGTTATACTAATACAGTATTTGGAAGACTATACAGGCAAGAGAATATGAACACAAAATCCTTGAAAATGGAGGACAAGATTATGGGAATATCTCCTTACATATGGCACCGAGCTGGTGAGGCCTGAGACGGCCTAAGTTCAGATCAAAAGTTACCTGCACAAGATGAGCAGCAGGAGACATTCAGAGCACCTGTCATCTTTTCAGCCTACATCTTGGTTTATTATGATATTTTCTGAACTGTGGCTGATGAATTGTTGGAATTGTTCAGTAATCAGGCTACACTTATTAGGCGGTTATTGCCTGGATGCCATTATCTCTTGCTGTACTGTCTTCGCATTTTCAGGCTGCATATGGGTCTTTGTGTGGCCCATGCTGTCTGGTATGGGAGCTCTTTCCATATGGTATGCATGATCAATAAACGGTTCATGTTCAATAAATCCAATGTTTTTGGGCCAACATGTTGATGCAGTAAAGCCACGTTGTTCAGTGATCAGGCAACACGTATTATCAGGAATTCAGAATGCCATCATCTGTTGTTGCACAAACAGGCGTGTTCCCATGGTCATTATGCTCAGGACTGACCATCCATCATCCATCGCTTTTCACTTGTCACCAGTTCACCTGTTTTGCGCTCAGGAGCAAAGGGCCACACCTTTCTGCATGTTTGCAATCCTGAGAGGCAGTGTACGGTTTATCTTCCTCCCACTGAAACGATATTATGTTACTCCTGCACCCAGAGAGATCTCGATGCAGAATTGTTGAATAAGTTAATCAGGAGATTTGTGATGGCTTCGTCTTGTGACGTCAGGGCTCCCATCATCCCAGCTTCGTTTTAGCAGTACTGATTCTGGAAGACAAGTGCGACCCATCAGTTAGTGTACATCGATGGAACCTTCAGAGAGACCATACACACATCAGAAAATAGAATCCGTCAGTTCTTGTTTTTTTCCTCTTTTCAAAAAAAAAAAAAATGCAGGCAGGGTGTCAGGTTTGTTATACTAATAGTCTTAGGAAGAGATAGAACTATAAAAGCAAGAGTAACTGAACACAAATCATTGAAAATGGAGGACAAGATTATGGGAATATCTCCTCACACATGGCACCGAACTGGTGAGACCTCAAAGGATCAAACGACCCAAATTCAGATCAAAAGTTACCTGCAGTAGATGAGCAGCAGGAGACATTCAGAGCACCTGTCACTGATCCTGAATGTCAGGTAGGAAAAACTAGTGGTTTGACTACTAGTTTAGAGTCCAACATGTTGTTTAATCCATATCGATGCATGGAATCTTCATGCAACGCAAATTCACGCAGCTGGGGTTGTGATCCTGTGTGATTTTGGCGATTTGACAATTGGAGATCAAAACGAATATGATAAGTTGATAACGGTCAGAGACTATTCTATCTGGGTGTCTGGGACTGAGAGCAGATGGGCTGACCCTGACCCGGTGAGGATATTGAAATGGATGACGGTGGTGTTCAGAAACAATTGTCCGACACCGACACCCGAGAGTAGCCGATCGAGGCCTTGTGGGGTTGTATAGTACAGGTACAGGTACAGGTACAGGTACAGACAGGCTTGTTGTGCAAGAATGCAAGAGTTGTGCGTTCTAGAAGTTGACACTTGACAGAGCTAGCTTGGGCTAATTCAAGTTGGTGAGCCAATGAAGTATGTGTTGTATAAAATATGTGTTGTATAAAATGATTGGAGCTCTGGGTCCGGTGCTGGCTACACTGTGGCCATGTTCCCCAATTCTGAATTTACTACTACGCAAAAGAAGATTTCCGTCGCATTAAACTTCATAGATATGCATGGAGTACTAAATGTTGACGAAATTAAAACTAATTGCACAGTTTGGTTGTACTTTTATGGAGACGAACGTTTTGAGCCTAATTAGTCAACGATT